GTAAGACAATGGAGAGGCCGCAAAGGTGGGAAGGGCAGGCTGTGACAGGATCTCGTTCGCGTCCCTCCGAAAGGAATAATTTCATTACCCCAGATTAACACGGGGGTGCTACAATAACGGGTGAGAGTAATTGATATTTTCCTGCTGCCTCATCCTGTGTTAATCACAATCGCAAGACCTCTTCATTGGTAGGGTTTGCAGTGAAATTCCGTTTTTTTCTGGTTTTCATCTCCAAAGCGACAAGGGCTTTATGCAAACGCGTATTTCCGCAGAGTCGTAAGCCAAGGTCAATTGCCTTGTGACACCCGTCCTCTCCGCGAAGTGAGGCAGGTGGGTTTGCTGTGTTGGTGCTGGGATTACTGAGGGTTCATTTCCATCTGCTAATTGTTTCCAGAGCTCATTTCCCGTGGTTTGCCATCGAGTGCAATTCGTTCTCTGAACGTCTTCCTCATTCTACATCAGGAGGAAAACCAGGGCGAGGCTTTTATGAGAGCTAAATTATTATAGGATGTTCCTGTCAGGGCATGAACAAGAGGCCGCAGAGTAGCTGGTGGTGCTGGTGACAGAAACACACACGTTCGGCTTGGCCTTCTGGGGAGTCTTTTTATCAACACCTAATGCTGGTTAATGACACATATTTCCCAGTAATTAGACAGCTACGAACGATTACGTAATTTTAAAATAAGACGTTGCAGTTTGCAGAGCATGTCTACATATTTCTCATCAGTGATTCACGGTAGTCCTGGGGTCCTGGTGGGACATCCCTTTCTAGATGGAACCAAAGGCGCACAGTTGAGCTGGCCCGAGGGGGACCCAGTGGTCAGTGGGAAAATGGGGCCTCGTTCAGGTTCTAATTCTGTGCCTGTTCGTGACCCTTCCATTAAGGTAGATGGGTCAAGCAGTCGGTAATTGAATTTTTCAATGGAGAAAAATGCTCAGAGGTGCCCGGAGACTGAGGACCTTTCCAACCTGACCCCTGTGCTTTCTGATTTTTCCTAACAGTTGACAACAAAGACAAACTGGAGGAAACCTCTGGACTGAAAATTCTTCAAACCGGAGTCGGGTCGGTGAGTAACGGGAGGGGTGCCGTCTGCTCTGAGATCGGCGATGCTGTCTGGGTGCTGGCGAGCACCGTGAGAACAGAGGCTGGGCCTGCAGGTTAATTCAGCCGAGGTCCTGTTTTCCGGGGAGGACCAGTGGGCTGCGGCAGGAGCATCCTCTGTGGGTGGGAAACGGGGACAAAATGTGCCTGGAGAGTTCAATGATGTCTTAGGGCCTTTGAAGTCGTAATTTAGTATCCCCACAAGAAGAAGCATTGATGGCTAAGAAGAACAGAGAAGCCTTCAGAAAACGTGCTCTTCCTCCCCTCTTCAGCTGTTTTGCAGTTGCTAAGTGTGTGAAAATGAATATGGGCTAGAGGGATTCCTCTTTCCTCCTGGGATGCAGTGGGACATGCTTGTATCTTCAATATCGAAGGACGTATGTTTGGGAGAGGTGATATAAAACGGGAAATGCTTCCATAGTATCATTGAAAATCTATCAAGCCCCCGTGTGTCCAAACCCCACCATGCTGGTGTCAGAGAGGCGTCGGCCAGGCTCCGCCAGCAGCCAGAGCCGCGGGCACTGTCCCCTCACATGACAACTTAATGAATGGCACACAGAGCGCGGACGCGCCTCCTCTCAGGAATGGCGTGTGGCCACTCGTAAGTCAGTGCGGAGCGAAACCAATCTGCGCTCTCGCATTTGAGATTTCGGGTTTCACAGCACTCGCCGTTAGAGATAATTAACTGTGAAGGAGCGCTTGTTTATGAGTGTGCTTGCTACACAGCAGAACCGCCCTCGGCGGAGCCACTTAAAGACAGGCCGCTTCTGTGGGGAAATCTCGTCCTCACCAGGCCCGAGACTCGGGCTCTTGAACTAAGAAGCTGCTTAATTGGCCGTTCTTCCCAAACAGAGGTTCTTGCGCTTCCCATGCAGTGCCTGCTTAAGGATAGCCTGAAGGGCTTGGAAAATGTCTGCCTCTCGGTTAAATGACGGGCAGGGTGTGGGAGAGGAGAGCAGCCAGTGACCGATGGAAACCGGCCTCACGGCCCGACAGGTGTTCCTGTTCTCGATGTTTCTTGATGCCTTCCTGGCTCGTGCTGGATGAACGAGGTGTTGGGCAGCCGGTGATGCCCTGGTCTTTCCCAGAAGCTTACTGTGTCTTTAGCACCCAGCGAAGGGTGAGAAAGAAGCCAAGAGTCGGGGGGGCTGCCGAGAGCCACCTGCATCCCACGGAAGGTGCAGTGACTGATGCGGAGGGGCCAAGTGGCCTCGAGGTGGAGTCAGTGGGGGGCGGCTGTGACCCCGTGTCACACCAGCGGCTGTGTGTGTCCTACATGTGGAAGGAGTCAGTGGGGGGCGGCTGTGACCCCGTGTCACACCGGCGGCTGTGTGTGTCCTACATGTGGAAGGAGTCAGTGGGGGGCGGCTGTGACCCCGTGTCACACCGGCGGCTGTGTGTCTCCTACATTTGGAAGGAGCTGTGGTGTCCTCCTGCCTTTCCTCTCCCTCTGAGCTCATCACGTGGGGTGGTGTTTGGTGCTAAGTCATTCCTACAGGGAAAATGGTGTCCAGGAGTTAGGGACAAATCTAGATGGACTCAGGTTAGAGCCGTCTCTGTAATCTGGTCAGAGAACGCGTCGAGGCTGGGACCGTCTGCTGAACTGTGGAATATTTAGGCCCCGTGAGAAGCGGCTGTGGTGGGCAGGGAGGTGGGTCCTGTGAACATGAAGGAGGCTCTGCCCTGAGAGGGCTGGAGGGGCAGGGGTGGGGGACGGGGAATGGGAGACTCTGGGGTTCATCTGGGAGGTGACCAGTGTGGTGCCTGGTGTCCAGACACACCTTCCTCATTGAAACCTGGACTCTGGCCACTCCAGGAAAGCGGCAGGACGTGGTGACAGGCAGAGCCACTGACTGGGCAGCTCCAGCCCAAGTGGCTTCTGCCGTGTGCCTCGCCGCACTTTGCCTCTTAAGCATGGAAGGTCAGATGTTATTGTCCACGCACACATGAGCCGGGGGAATAGCGCCTCCCTGGCCGCCCACTCAGGACGGAGCTCCTTCCCACACACACTTGGGCCTGGAGGACAGCACCTCCACGGCCACCCTTTCAGGACAGAGCTGCCCCTCCCATACTGGAGGAGCCACAGGGCCTGGACCTGTGGCTGCAGCCTCCCAGCTCCTCCCGTCCTCCGCTGAGCACCTGTGATGTCCGGGCACTCCCCGCTTGGATCGGGGCATCTGGGTTTCGTCCTCCCAGCTCCTCCCGTCCTCCACTGGGCACCTGTGATGTCCGGGCACTCCCCGCTTGGATTGGGGGAGTTTAGTCCTCCCAGCTCCTCCCATCCTCCGCTGAGCACCTGTGATGTCCGGGC